GACAAACAAGCAACTTTCTCAATCTTTCACAAACTGAACCTGTAAGAAGTTTTGCAATTTATCCTACAAATTCTATCAGAGTGTTCTGCACTATACAAATAGGTATGGAGTCCAAATGTTAACATTGCAGGACGCTCTGATATAATTTGTACTCCACAACTACTCAGCAGTCTTCCCCCAGATCTTCACAAGCTGTTCCAGCTCTCTATAACTCGACCCTGCTTCCCCCGCCGCCGCCTTGGCTGCCTTCCTCACCGCAGCCGTCCTCCTCTTAAGCTCCTCCCCCTCCTCCGATTCCATCAGCCATCTAACCCTCTCCTCCACCTCCTCTGCCGTCACCATCCCCTCCTCAAACCCCCTCATCTCCCCTGCCAGCTTAAACTCCTCAACCAGAAACACCTTATTCCACCTCTGCTCTGCGTACAACGGCCATGCCACCATCGCCTTCCCACTACACACTGCCTCCAGCACCGAGTTCCACCCGCAGTGTGTCACAAATCCGCCCACCGCTCTGTGGTTCAACACCTCCACCTGCAGAATACAACTATCAGAAAAGTCTAGGAATGGGATGCTTTAAACCATAAAACACACTTAAATTAGGGTCCAGTCACATAGACCTCTGTATAGTACCGCAATTTGGAACTTATTTACACCAATAGTTCGATTTTGGCGGGTAGAACCACATGATAACTTTCTCAACTCTTTTATTCTTAGATAGACTCACTAATTTCGCTTAGGGACTTTCTACACTCTTTTATTCTCAAATAGACTCACTAATTTCACCCAGGGTTAGTATCTGTAAAAATGTCACCCAGGTTAAAAGAGTTAAAAAAAAAAAGCTTTTCTCTTGGGGGTCTATAATCTGAAATCAGATTACAGGATCATAAATTCCACAGTGTGATACTACACAGGTCTATAAAAATTTCAAATAGTTTCTATGCGGATGTTCTGATAAAATCTGTACACTCACCTGTGGTACCCACGACTTAACAACAAGTCCTATATCACTCATTCTCTCTGTAAACCCCTCCGGCAACAGTTCATCAAGCTTTGGCTCCGGAGGCGCTTCGTACTTCATCGTTGGATGCTCGCTCGGTGGGCTTCTGACTACCCATAAAAACCGCTGACCACTTCGTTCAAGTCCAATAGCGATCTGTTTGAGTTGGCCAGCGGAGAAGAGGCCGAGGCTGCCGAAGCAGAGGAAGACGACAGAGTTATCAGGTTGAGTGTCGAGCCAATTGAGACAGTCGGAATTGTTGCTCTGTGCTCTGGCGTTTGATGTGATTAAGGGTCCGATGGGGTATATTGGAGGTGGTGTTGTGTTTTGACCGGCTGAGCAGAGTCCTTTGTTTATTGCGTCGAGTGCTTTTGGTTCAAGTGAACTGAAAGTATTGATCAGGATTCCATCGTACCTGAAATTGATAGCGAGAATTACATCTTATGGCTCACATTATTGTAATGTTTAATTTTAGAAAACCCACACGAACTTTGAGAGGTGTTACAATTAATACTTTTAAACTATTTTAATTCGAGAAAACATCCTGAACTTTGAGAGAACTATTATTGGATGCATGAATAAAAAATCTGCAAGTTTATTTGAGAAATATTTAATAGTTTTGATTCTCATTAGTGAATTCCATCTAGGAGTTTACTTAAGAAAAATGAAATAACTTCTGCTATTTGTTTATTAGATGAATATCAAATGTGAGCATTTTACATGTGCAATTTGTTTATAAACATTCAATCACATACGAGCATTTACATGTTCAATTTTAATATCTTATGACTTGTAGTTGTAACATTGCCTGCACCTATTTTATAACTTATGAAAATATGGACACCTCACTATATATTCAACTTGATTCGATTCATCACCAGTCCTACCTGAACAAGCTGCGAGCAAGATCGAGGAACCCTTTATACGCATCATCGGAATTATCCATCATCGGAAGCGGCATATGATCTGCCGGGATCGACGGAACGCCAGGGATATTGATCAAGGTGTGGCCGAGATCCTTAAACGAAGTCGAAATGCTCAAATGCAAACTTGGAAAATTCAAGAAACAAGCCAACGCGCCAGCCCCCGATGTATAAAAACAATAACAAGGTATCTCCAACTCATCTACAATATCAAGAACACAAGCACAGAAAAAATCAACGACAAGTGCACGAACATTCTTCGTCGAGAGGAGAAAATCTTTGAGATTTGGGTTTGAGAGGCGAAGGGTTTCGAAGGCAAGGAACTCATGGTTTGCAGAGGAAATGTCAGAAGGGAGAGAGACGGCAGGGAGGCGGTGGAAGGTGATGGAGGGGTCTGCGGAGGCAACAGAGGCAATGAATGGGGCGGTGGAGCCCGTGTTATAAGGGGGATCGACGATGAGAATGGTGACGGAGAGGTTGTGGGTAGTTAAGAGTTTTCCAAGCTCAATCATTGAGACTAGGTGGCCCATGCCAGGCGATGGGTACAAGACTATTGAGCTCATTGTTATACGAATCTGTGCGACGAGAGTCTGAATGTTGTGATTGTGTGAAGAGTGATGGTATGAAATGATGGCACTTGTTTGAGCTTTTATAGAGGTGGATTCCTGTCTGCGTGTTTGACTGGACTTTGATTGTGCATGTGATTGAGTGACATCAAGCACGCAACCGAAGAGAGTGAGGATCACGAAGAGTGATTTGTACTGTTTTGGGGTTGTTTACACAATTAATGGAGCTTGGAGTCTATAGATGAATTTGCACGTAAAGGATGGAGTAAGAAATTAAAAAGAGGGGTAGATCCTCCCCATCCGTTGTCAATGACCAATTGAGAGATCATTTTCTTAATCATGATTCTTCAACATTTAATATTTGATTATCATTAACACAAGGAAATTGGCTAACATTTAGTATATGATTACAGTTTTATTAGCACAAAGAAATGTTAGTACATATCACGTATTATATATAGGTCAACTTTATATCTGCATGACGAAAAATTAAAAATAAAAACAAAAATAAAAATAATCCAGCCCAACTATGAAAGGAAAATCAGTCTGAGGATCACCAACATCCTTTGAACAATTTCACAGATAGCACCAATTTCAAAACCATGAATTATATGTTGGGACAAACCCGGGGCCCAATAGAACAGGGTCGCAGCAATAGTAAAGCAAAAGTAGAGATAAAATGATAGACACACAGATTTACGTGGTTCGGCACTTGATTGCCTACGTCCACGGGCAAGGATAGAAGAATCTAGTATGAGGAGAAAACTCTGGGGTTACAATCTCTCTTTACAAGGAGAAACTCTCTCTATTTTTTTTTTCTCTCACTCTTCTTATATAAGAAGTTGTTTCTGGGATGAGATTTCCTTAAGGATTTGGAGCCCTATTTATAGTTTTTTGAAAAACACTATGCACAATAAAATATTAATATTTTACTATAGCAGTGAGCCCCACCATTTTGTTTTCTTTTTCCTTTTCAACATTGACTGCTGGGTGGGTTGGTGCTTGGCTTCATTAGGCGCCTAACAATCTCCCACTTGAAGATTTGATTGAATATCAATCATATCTTCACACCATTCTTTCTATCTTGCCATCTTCATGTTGCTTACGTCTCTGACAGACCACCTTTACTAGCTTGTGTAGCTGCTACATACTCTGCTTCTGTTGTTGAAGTAGCCACAACTGACTGCAGTTTTGAAACCCAGCTTACAGCTCCGCCAGCAAGTGCAAACACATAACCTGTGGTGGATTTGCTATTATCACGATCACCTGCATAATCAGAATCAACATATCCACTGACAATAAAATCAGATCCCCCATAACATAATGCAACATTTGAGGTTCCTTGAATGTATCTTAGAACCCTCTTTACAGCATTCCAATGCTCTTTACCAGGATTCGCCATGTATCGACTAACCACTCCCACTGCTTGTGCAATGTCTGGTCTTGTACAAATCATCGCGAACATTAAGCTTCCCACTGCTGATGCATACGGTACTCGAGACATCTCCATCCTCTCTTCTTCACTGCTAGGACTCATACTGGAGGATAACTTGAAATTAACAGGAAGTGGGGTAGAAATTGACTTACAATCTTGCATGTTAAAGCGTCGCAAGATTTTCTTCAAATAGTTCTTCTGAGAAAGCCAAATCTTCCTATTAATTCTGTCTCGGTAAATTTGCATCCCTAGAATCTTGTTTGCAGATCCTAAATCCTTCATTTCAAATTCCCTAGCCAACTGAGCCTTTAATTCTTGGATACGATCTTTGTTGGGGCCTGCAACCAACATGTCGTTAACATACAACAATAAGATAACAAAGTTATTTTCACCAAACCTCTTGAAATATGCACAAGGGTCTGAATTAAGTCTGTTGTATCCAAGGCTCATGATGAATGAATCAAATCTCTTGTACCAACACCTCGGCGCCTGCTTTAGACCGTACAGAGATTTGTTCAATCTGCAAACCAAGTTCTCTTTTCCTTTTTCTTCAAAACCTTCTGGTTGGAGCATGTAAATTTCTTCTTCAAGATCTCCATGAAGAAATGCTGTTTTCACATCTAGCTGCTCTAGATGTAAGTCAAATATAGCGCTCATAGCCAGGACAATTCGGACTGTTGTTAGTCGAACTACAGGAGAAAATATTTTATTAAAATCAATACCTTCTTTCTGAGCATATCCTTTTACCACCAATCTAGCACGATACCGCTCCACTTATCTAGCACGATACCGCTTGATCTTGTAGACCCATTTGTTTCCAATGGTCTTTCTTCCTTGTGGTAGTGACACAAGTTCCCAAGTCTTGTTTTTATGGAGAGCTTCAATTTCTTCCTGCATTGCTGCCATCCACAAAGATGCATCTGTGCTATTTATAGTTTCATGAAAAGTTAATGGCTCCCCATCTTCTGTTAGAAGACAGTATGCAACATTACTCTTCGAAATATACTCCGAGTGCCAAGTCGGTGGTCTTCTCTCACGAGTTGACCTTCGAACTTCTGGAGCCTCGGACTCGACCGGTTCTTGTACATCATGCTCTGGTGTTGCTTCAGAAGAATTCGGATTATCTTCTACCTGAACAGCTACAGTCTCTGAGTCCTTCCTCAAACTGCTTTCTTTCTCTTCACTTTGTAGTTGGTTCTCTACAAAGATAACATCTCTGCTGATGATAACCTTGCGGGTAGTGGGATCCCACAGGCGATACCCCTTTACTCCATCAGCATACCCCAAGAATATGCATTTTCTGGATTTTGAATCCAGCTTTGTAATTTCTTGGGCATTGTACATTACGTACACTGGACTTCCAAATATATGGAGGTTGGAATAATCAGCTGGCTTGTCAGTCCACATCTTCATTGGCGTCTTCAATTGTATTGCAGTTGATGGAGATCGATTCACCACATAACAGGCGGTTTTTACTGCTTCCGCCCAAAAGACTTTTTCCAGATTTGCAGTAGCCAACATAGCTCTTGTTCTTTCCAACAGAGTTCTGTTCATCCGCTCCGCCACTCTATTTTGTTGAGGAGTATAAGCCGTACTGAATTGTCTTTTGATGCCTTCATGCTTGCAGAATGCTAGGAATTCACCGTCTGTGTATTCTCCTCCATTATCTGACCTCAAGCACTTGATCTTCTTCTCAGATTCAAGCTCGACCCGCGCTTTGTAGGCTTTAAAGACTGAGAACACATCCGCCTTCTTCTTGATAGGATACACCCAACATCTCCTGGAGTAATCATCAATAAAGGACACAAAGTACTTTGCTCCTCCTAAGGATGTAACTGGTGCTTGCCATACATCAGAATGAACCAGTTCCAGAATAGCCTTGCTTCTAGAACTCGATGTGTTGAACTTCAGTCGATGTTGCTTGCTTGTAACACAATGCTCGCAGAATGGAAGAGCTACCGAATTAAGTCCAGGAAGCAGTTTCTGATCGGAGAGAACCTTCAAGCCTCGTTCTGACATGTGGCCTAGCTTGCGATGCCACATCATGGTTTGTTCTTCTCCACGGCTGGTTGATGCCACACATGAATCAGCTTCCTGCAGAGTCTCTCCCTTGAGCATGTACAGATATGTAGCTATTTTTTCTCCTTTTATCACCACAAGCGCCCCTCTAACAATCTTCATGACTCCATTTTCTATATGAGTCTTGCACCCGAGCTCATCTAATTGTCCCAAAGACAATAGATTCTTCTTCAAGCCCTTCACATGTCGCACATCTTGAATGGTGCGTATTATACCATCAAACATTTTGATTTTGATAGTACCAATACCACAAATCTCCAAGGCATGATCATTCCCCATGAATACAGATCCTCCTGAGATAGGTTCATATTTGCGAAACCAATCTCTCCGAGAGGTCATGTGCCAAGAGGCTGCTGAATCTAGAAGCCAGACATCAGCAAACTTCTTTCTGCCTTCATCAACAGTGGTTGCTCCACTGAATAGAATTTCACCATCCTCTGACGTGCTGACAACGCATCCTTGAGATGTTGATGGCTCTGAAGACTTTTTATCTCCACTCTTCTTGTTGTGCCAACACTCCGATTTGACGTGCCCTCTTTTGCCACAGTTGTAGCATTTGATATTCTTCTTACTTCGTGATTTCGATCTACCATGGGCATGACTCCCACTGGAGCCACGTTCTGTTGATCTTCCTCTCGTCACCGACAAGGCCTCCGCTTGCTGCGAACTTGTCTGCCTGTCTTCCTTGTTCTTGCGCCGATTTTCTTCCTCCAGAACAGCGGCTGCAACATCGTCGAAGACTAGATTGTCCGTGAGGACGTTGTTCGTCAGGTTGATGATGAGTTGATCATACGAGTCAGGTAGACTCTGAAGTAGAAGTTCTGCACGTTCATTCGCACCAACTGTATATCCCAACGTTGTGAGTTGGGAGAACAGTGTGTTTAGGGTGTTGATGTGGTCGGTCATCGATGTAGATTCCGCCATCCTCAGAGTGTAAAGTCTCCTTTTTAAGAAGATTTTATTGTGCATGGATTTCGCCTCATATAGCTTTGTTAGAGTATCCCAGATCTCCTTTGCTGTCTTCTTCTCCTCTATGCTTGACAGCACCCCGTCTGCTAATGCCAGATGGAGATTTACAATAGCATTTTCGTCCATCTCGTTCTACTTCTTATCATCTGTGATGTCGTCCGGCCTTGCACCAATGGCCGCCAGGCAATTATCTTTTCTCAAGATAGCTTTTATCTTCAACTTCCATAGTGAGAAATTACTCCCGTCGAATTTCTCAATCTTGAACTTCGCCGCCATTGCTTCTACCACGAACAGTAACTTCTTACTATTTCACGTAAATAGTACTGTATTTATGAACAGTAACCGTATTCGTGAATAGTACCGTACTTATGAATAGTACCGTATTTGTGAATAGTACCGTACTCTTGAATAGTACCCGTCACCTCCAAAGGGTAAGTGATAACCTAACTTATTTTCTGATGTGGAGGATCCACCTTTGGTGGCAGCCACAGAGCATACGATAAGTAGATATATACAAGTACCCTAAGTTGGCTCTGATACCACTTGTTGGGACAAACCCGGGGCCCAATAGAGCAGGGTCGCAGCAATAGTAA